AAAAGAAATAAAAGAAAAAAAATAAATCTCTGAACAACAAATTTGTCTTCATCACATATCTTGTTCTTGTTATAGTCTCTGCTATTTTCACATCAATTTGTAATAGAAAAGGGATTTGAATAATAAGGTAAATGGCTTCATTTATGTGAAGTAACTGGGAGGCCCGTGTGGGCGAATCACCTGAGGTCAGGAGGTCACGACCAGCCTGGCCAACATGGCAAAACCTTATCTCTACTAAAAACAGAAAAATTAGCCAGGTGTGGTGGTAGGCACCTGTAATCCTAGTTACTCAGGAGGCTGAGGCAGGAGAATCACTTGAACCGAGAAAGCAGAGGTTAGAGTGAGCCGAGATCATGCCACTGCACTCCAGCCTGGGTGACAGAGCAAGACTCCATCTCAGAAAAAAAAAAAGAACTTAAGGAGCCAAGCGAGGTGGCTTATGCCTGTAATCCCAGCACTTTTGGAGGCCAGCACAAATGGATCACTTGAGGCCAGGAGTTCGAAACCAGCCTGGTCAACATAGTAAGACGCTCCCTCTACTAAAAATACAAAGTTAGCTGGGCATGGTGGTGCACACCTGTAATCCAGTGACTTGGGAGGCTGAGAGACAAGAATTGCTTGGATCCAGGAGAAGGAGGTTGCAGTGAGCCAAGATCACACCACTGCACTCCAGCCTGGGCGACAGAGTGAGACTGCCTCAAAAAAAAATAAATAAATAAAATTAAAAACGGGGAATGCATAAAGTTATATATCAGGATAACAAGCCAGGTATCTTTGACAGTGTTGTATCTGTTTTCCCAGGTATACCTCAAAAGGATCAGCTGTTTATGCCATTTTTAAGCACTGGCCAGAAAATGGACTCTTAAACCTTGTATCCCCCATAACTACCTCAACTACGAAGGTAAGCAGCCCTTGTCAGTCCTAAGATGTAACTTTCTCTAAAGGAATTGGCAGATGCTTCCTTTCTTCCTTCCCCACCGGGTTTCTCCCATATTCATACCTCTTTTAGACTGGCTTTCCTGCCCTAGCCCAGCGTGGCTGTTTTCCACCATATTCAGCTTGTATTCTATACTCATTAGTGCATTACCAATTTTTTTCATTCCCTTTTGTTTTCTGCAGATACTGATGCTAGGAATTCAAGGAGATCTAAAGTGGTCCACAGATCCGGATAAAGGTCTCCTCATCTCTCTGCCCCAGTTGCCACCCTCTGCCATCCCTGTAGAGTTTGCTTGGACTGTAAAGCTGGCAGGAGTGAAGTAATCATTTGTGTGCAAGAAGGAAGATGCACTGCCTGCTGTTTTGCTGCTTCTAGTACCATCACTATAATCAACGAACTTCTCTTCCCCACCCAGAGATGGGCTTTTCCAACACATTTCAATCAAAGGAACTGAGTACATTACCCTGATGTCTTTGAGTTCATTAATTCTAATATTTGGAAATTATCTACAGTGGAATCTTCCCTCTGTTCTCTGATAACCTACTTGCTTGCTCAGTGCCTTTAAGCCAAGTCACCCTGTGGCCTACAGGAGGAGGTGGAAAGGATTTGGCAAGCTCAACCACATGCTATTTAGTTAGCTTCAGTTGTCACCAACATTCTTTCTGCAAAGGGCAGGAGAGCTTTAGGGGAAAAGAAAAGGCTTACCAGGCTGCTAATGGTCAACTCTTCAGAAATTTCCAGAGCAATCTAAGAGCACCAAATTTCACTATGTTTACAGTGATACTGTTAATAAAATGAATGTGATTCTGCTCTGTCTTTTTAAATGTGATCAAATAAAAAAATTTGTGTGTCACTTCATTTCTACCAAAAAAACATGGTGTAGCTTTCTTTTCTTGGTTTCAACTTAGACTG